GTTCACAAAAAAATTAAAAAATGAATGGAATATCATAATAAACGTTCCAGAAAACTTGCACCCAAACTCAGTCCTCGATTATTTAATGCTTTTGCAAAAGTTGGATTGATTTCTAATGATATATTTAAATCTACAAGTGATTCTTTATATCTGCCCATCTTTTGATAAACAATTCCACGGTTAACTAATGCAAATTCAGAATTTGGATTGATTTCTAATGATTTATTTAAATCTACAAGTGATTCTTCATATCTATCCATACTTAGATAAGTTAGTCCTCGATTATTTAATGCTTCTGCAAAAGTTGGATTGATTTCTAATGATTTATTTAAATCTACAAGTGATTCTTTATATCTGCCCATCTTTTGATAAACAATTCCACGGTTAACTAATGCAAAGTCAGAATTTGGATTGATTTCTAATGATTTATTTAAATCTACAAGTGATTCTTCATATCTGCCCATACTTAGATAAATTAGTCCTCGATTATTTAATGCTTTTGCAAAATTTGGATTGATTTCTAATGATTTATTTAAATCTACAAGTGATTCTTCATATCTGCCCATACTTAGATAAGTTAGTCCTCGATTATTTAATGCTTCTGCAAAAGTTGGATTGATTTCTAATGATTTATTTAAATCTACAAGTGATTCTTCATATCTGCCCATCTTTTGATAAAGTATTCCACGGTAAGCTAATGCAAATTCAGAATTTGGATTGATTTCTAATGATTTATTTAAATCCACAAGTAATTCTTCATATTTGCCCATGCTTTGATAAGTTAGTCCTCGACTAGTCAATGCTTCTGCAGAATTTGGATTGATTTTTAATGATTTATCTAAATCCACAAGTAATTCTTCATATTTGCCCATGCTTTTATAAGTTAGTCCTCGACTAGTCAATGCTTCTGCAGAATTTGGATTAATTTCTAATGATTTATTTAAATCCGCAAGTAATGCTTTGTATCTTCCTATTTCAAAGTAGGTTAGTCCTCGAGACATTTCAGTGATTGAAGTTTCACTATCTACGGGTATTCCCGTAAATATACCTCGAGACATTTCAGTGATTGAAGTTTCACTATCTACGGGTATTCCCGTAAATATAATGCTTTTTCCTATTGCATTCAAATAGATTGTTGCCATTGCGGAATCAAAGCTAGCATCAGTTTTATCTAGTTTTAAATTTTCTGGAAAAAGAATAATACACCACTGGATTGAAACTTCAATTTTATTATCACTATTAGAAATTTCATCGTCAGAGAAATTTTCTTCAAAATAATTAATGTGACTATGATCACACACAGTTAGTTTTATTTTGTTATCATGATAGTTTAGAATGCTAGCACCGAAACTTGATGATGGTCTTTTAAATGAAGTAACGAGGACTGAGTTTGGGTGCAAGTTTTCTGGAACGTTTATTATGATATTCCATTCATTTTTTAATTTTTTTGTGAAC